AGGTGTAAGCTCCCAGCAGACCGCACTATGAGTGCTCTCCTAAGGCAGCTGCTGCGCACCACCTCTGCCTCAGCCCCCAGAGACACGGCGTGGCAGAGGCCCTAACCTGGAGGGAGGGGCTGGGGCTGTGGGCCCCTGGAGGGGCCAGGCTCCTTGCAGAGAAGCCCACTGGGGCCCAGCGGGGGCGGGGGGAGGGCGGGGAGAGATGGACCATGCTCTCACCACGAACCTGAGAGTTTCGTGGGAAAGGCCAGGAATGGGTTTCCAAGGTTGTTGGCCTCAACCCGATGGTTTTGTGAGTCTGGGACTTGGAGAAATTCAGTTACAGTTAGAGCCCTTTATGTATAGATTGTAGAGAAGAGATCTTTATCCCAGGTTGTTGATATTTAAGGAAACCCAAAGAATGTAGTTTCTCAGAAGAGCTTTTAGTGATTGATGGGTTTAGTAAAACAGTAGTAGGCTATGTATGGAATTAGGAAATGCTGTCACTGACATACTGCTTTTCACCTCCCTCACCACACTTTTTTTTTTTTTTTTGAAGGGCCATAAATTCCAGTACTAACTATATTTCACAAATGATTTAGAACTATTTATCATCCCAGCAATCCAGTCTCAGGTATTCCTTGGTGGTAGAGAAGAACAATGCCAGGTACATGCTAGTAATATTAGTAGATATTTGTTAGATGAGAGGACAAGCTGACTGTAAAATGGATTCCTCTCCTTCATTTGTTGCTCACCAAATGCCCTTTATATCCCTACTGTGTATAAGGGAATATTAAGGATCTGAAGGCACCTAAGATGTTACTGGTGCCCTACCTGGATTTGCAGTCTGTAATACAGAACGGTACACCAATACCTGTGACCCGGGGCACAGAGTCTCAGTGCAGTCTGTATGCAGGTCTTGGTGGCCAGGAATACAAGGTCACGCTGGCTGACGAACCAGGGAAAACACTTAGCAACAGGTGAGGTGTGAGCTTGTCTTGGAGGGTGAGTCACAATGTTCCCCGGAGGAGTCTGAGGGGAAGGCACCCCAGGCAGTGGGATTGGCTTGGGAGAGGACACAGAAGCAGGAAAGTGCAGCATCGAGCGATTGACTCAGGCAGTACACGGAGTGCCTCTTGGGCTGGTGTGGGGACCAGACTGTGAGGGCGCCTAAGCCGCATGGCAGAGGGAGTCGCGTCAAGTTTAAGGTCAGAGAAAGGGAGAGCAGAGACAGGCCCTGGAGCTGTCATTCTAGACTAGGGGTGTCGAACTCAATCAGAGAAGGGGCCAAAATCTAAAATCCAGCCTAAATCGAGGGCCGAATGGTTTACTGAACAGTCATAAACTGTCATTGTGATGGAAACGCAGCGGAGTGCAGTGATGACAGCACGGTGCGGGCCACATTGCAAGGCCTGGCGGGACAGATTTGGCCCGCGGGCCTTGTGTTTGACACATGTGTTCTAGACCCTCGTTCTTACCTCCCATCCCCTCTTCTTCCACTCTGAGGCCCTGTACACCCATCCTGCCTATCTTCACCAGACTGTCACTAAGATACTGCTCTGACCATTCTATTTACACCTCTGTGTGTTCGCAAACCCCTGTAGGATAAATTCAACACTTCTTAACTGGGGCTTCATGCCTCTCCTGATCTTCTCCAAGCCAGTTACCCCCGTTTTATCCTTCAGCTCACTTACCCAACCATCCACTTTTTACCACGTCCTCGGACCCCCTTCTCTGCCTCTTGGTCTCCTCGTGCCCGCCTCACTGATATGGGCCCACCCTGTACCTTTGCCGATACTGTCCTTCCAGCCTGAGCGCCCTCCGTCTGTGTCCATGAGAATCTCCAAGGCCCATTTTTTTAATCTCCACAAATTTAAACTTATAGCAGATGGAAACCAAGTCTTTATTTTTATATCCAAATGTTGAATGAATGAATGAATGAATGAATGAATACTTACCTTCCATTCCTTCTTTTTCTCAATTCCTGAATATAAACAAATGTAACTCTATCCCCCAGGGAATGGGGCCTTCCATTTGTAGAATGCTTTAGCCTTCCCAAAGGGTATGTATGGCCTACCGGTCCAGACCAGCCTGGAGCCTGGTTGCCAGAGTCCCAGCCATGGCTTTGCCAGTTACAGCCATGTGACCTCGGGAACGTTACTTACCTCACCGGTGAAATGGGGAGGTAAAGGTACCTACCTGATAAAGAACCTTTAGAAGGACTAAATAAAATACTTTTTTTGTAACATGCTTAGAACAATCTCTGGCACCATAGTGAGCATTATATAATTTTTATTTAGCGAAGTATATACATGTTTCACATATGTACATATATTTATGGTATAGATGGTATACATATACACACATATATGGGGAGTACTCAGTCAGGTTTAAGTTACACACACACACACACACACACACACACACACACACAGGGATGCACAATTGGGTATCCACAGAAACCTTGTAAGATGAGCAAAGTGTTAAATAACTTCCCCACCCCTGGTACCTGGTAGATCCATTTCTGGAACCACACGTGGTGACTGATGGATCCTTCACTGGAATCACACCTGGTAACTGGTAGATCCGTTCCTGGAGCCATGCTTTCTAACTTCCGAACCAGGAGTCAAAAAGTAAAATTTATAGCTTTCCTCCACTGATCTTTGCCAACACATGTTTTTTCCAATACATAATGATCTCTTGGTGCTGAATATTGAAATTCACTATGGATATTTTAATTATACTGATTTGAAGTACAAGAGTAGTGTCAGATGTAGTATATTGGTCTGTCAGGATTGCAACCTCACAAAGAAATCCGTGATACGGTCACCTTCCTCTTGGCTATATTCTTCCTGCACTTAAGGAAAGATGGAGCGAAAGGATAAATTGAATGTGTTCAACAGAGAATTATGCCTGAAGTGTTAGTGCAGAAGGTTTCAGAGAAGAAGCTGTGCTATCGGAGCACATTTAAATGGAGCTACGCCGATCATGCCATTGGGTATGCAGAGGCTTGTGTTTGCCTTAGACTGATGGAGAAGCTGTGGTTTTCTCTGCCATGTGCATTCAACATGCATCTTTGAAAAAATAAAAGCATTCTTTTACTTCTCCGGAAAAAGGGACTGTCAGTTATTTTACTTTAAATACAAAACACATTTAACTTCTGTCAACAGTTCACTTTTTCAATAATACAGTTTGTATTTGCACTCATTACGTACAATTAGAGTTCTCAAAGAAGCTCTTAGTGTTTTTCTCCCCCAACTTCTAAACTCATTCATTGTAACTGTTAACATTTTAGAGAATCTTAGAAACCCTCCGATTGGGGAACGGAACAAAGAAACTCCCTTTCTGTACATTGCCATTGAACTGCTTCAAGAATCCTCCGCTATTGTGCTGGACCACCTAACGATGCGCTGGTTACACCCTTCTCTTGCTCATTAGGTCAGACTCCAGTGTTTCCCTTTTAACCCAGGCCAGCTGATGAGGAATGCCATGCTGGCAGCCAGTTCCATTTGTGCAAATTACCTGCTTACACTGGTCCTCAGCATCTAAACAAAGCAAGAGTGGGGAGATCCGTTCTTTTCTTTGTGATGTATTTTTAAAAAAGACTTCTCAGGTACCCACAGTCTGGGATGCCTTTTCATCCAGCTTTGATGGGAGTCACGTGTCCTCATTTCTTCTTTGCTGTCTATGAGCAAGAAGAATGCAGACAGCTGAGCAACGTGGTGTGTGTGTGTGTGTGTGTGTGTGTGTGTGTGTGTGTGTGTGTGTTGTGTCAGAGAGAGGGGGGCGGGGAGAGATTGTGTTTTTTTTTCCACCCTCTTAGTTAAAGATGTAACTGGAATCAGCACCCAGTGGTGTGTGGGTTTGCTTCGGGCAGGGAGGACAAACAGAGCCAAGCCTGGAAATGCGAGGTGTGGGGCCCATTCAGTGACCTCGCTGTTTGCCCAGCTGCAGGGTGACTCCCTTTTCATTCCTCAGCTGCCCAGCTGCTTCCTAACACTATTTTATTTTCCTTTTAAACTGAAGTAGCCAATCACACTTCCCCAACAGGCCTGATAATTACTAAAAACAGACCACTTGGCAGTTGCACGCAGCCCAGGACAAGCTGCCACGGTTTATAGACGAGCACTTGGTTTGTTCTTGGTCAGCAGTGCCTGTCACAGAATTTGCTCACACCAGGTTTTATGAAAAGAAATAAAGGTCATTCATTAACCCCATGTTTTACTCTTTAAAATAGTCGTCTTGAGAATGTATATTAAGTGAAGCCATTAAAAATGCTGGTTTTTCTCCTTTTTTTATTTTTTTATTTTTTATTTTTTTATATATAATCCACAAAGGCAGCAATTTTATAAGGTTTGACCTAAGTAAATGCATCTATTCCAGCGGTGCTTCTGGTAACCAAACTAGTTTATAACTCATCTTTAAATGAGAAAACTCAAGTTCCTTACTTCAAAGCATTACATTAATCTCAACTTCTTAACAACTGTGCCGTAACTATTAAATGGTCTCTGGTTATTTATAAATGAAATAATATTTTGAAATTAAAATATGTTTGAGCCTAAACTAAAACTATGTTTTGTAGTTTGACAAGTAGATTTTTAAGCAGTAAAACTTAGTAAGGGCTGTACTAATTTGGAGTTTTTTATAAATCCAAGGTTAGGCTAAAATTTATTCATGAATAATGGTTTATTGTGCAAATTAATAATGCTGAGGAGATTTTAGAGCAACACTTGTAAGCTTAAGGGAACTTCTCAAGTACACTGACAGCCTGTATAAGACTCTCAGTCATTTTTTCATCAAGGCCTGTCTCCTCAGTGCCTCTTCCTGGCAGGTGAACTTAATTTGCATGTTTCTGTTTTCTTTAGGTAGAAACAATATTCCATAATTCATCTATTTTACTAACAATCTGAAAGTTGGAAGGTGATATTCTTAACATATGTGTCATATAATTGTTTCCATTTACTTCCTAAGTTACAAACAGACATTCTTTTAACAATTTGGATCACTTTTTTTTGCAGGTGATGAAAACATACCATATGTATCATGCGGAGAGCATCAGTGCAGAGAGCAAGCTGAAAGAGGCCGAGAAACAAGAAGAAAAGCAAATTGGGAGATCCGGCGATCCAGTCTTTCATATTAGACTAGAGGAGAGACACCAGCGGCGAAGCTCTGTAAAGAAAATCGAAAAAATGAAAGAAAAGGTAAGTGAAAACAGATTGCCATGTCTTTCTGTCCTCACTTGAGATGACTTATCGTCCTCACTTGAGGTGACAAACTGAAGAACATTAATGCAATAGCTGATAGACACAGATTGTAAATTATCGAGAAATACATGAATTTCCTCCCATGGGAATACAGAATGTTTAAGGAACATAAAAATCATGTAATAACAGCTGGACATCATTTAGTGGTGAATGCCAAGTATTCAATACACAATGTAGAGGACTTGAATAGTAACAAAAGAGATTTCATTGCAAATGGGCCTAAGGCCCAAATACATTGTTGTTATTCCCCATAACTGGGTAATTTTAGTTTGTTATTTAAGTCAGATTTGAAATGTACTTTACTCAAAAGACTTCGAAGGTTATTTGTAGATGTAGAATAAATTGTTTAGATTAATAAAAATTCATGTGTGTTTCTGTGTCTTGTTTGAAAATGACTTTCTTATTTTTCTCGATGCCTGGATCTTCATTGGCAGAGACAAGCAAAGTATTCAGAAAATAAGCTAAAATCGATTAAGGCACGGAATGAATACCTCCTGACCCTCGAAGCAACCAACGCCTCTGTTTTCAAGTATTATATTCATGATCTCTCAGATTTAATTGATGTAAGTACTTGTAGTTTTTGTGTTTTCCACATTAAGATGAAATTAACAATAACTGTATTTCATTGATTCTAAAACACCATCATGTATTAAAACTGTTATGTTACATAATAGTCAGAAAAAAATACATTGCTAATTAAACCATACATAATACTAAGACACTTTCAATTGTCAGATGACTCTGAAAAAAGATGCATGCTAAAACATGAAAAACAACTTAGACCCTACCGGTTTGGGTCAGTGGATAGAGCGCCAGCCTGTGGACTGAAGCATCCCAGGTTCGATTCCAGTCAAAGGCACATGCCCAGTGGGGGTCAAGCAGGAGGCAGCTGATCAATGATTCCCTCTCATCATTGATGTTTCTCTCTCCCTCTTCCTTCCTCTCTGCAACCAATAAAAGTATATTTAAAAAAACAACAACAAACAAAGTAGTAGGTTCTGTGAAGCTGAGTGCTTGGTCAACTCAGTTAGGAAGGGGAGCCAGTCATTTTAAAATTACGTAATTTTACAGTTAGGAATACAGTCCTTACTGCATTCATTGATTCAAAACATGCTTATTGGGGCCCTCCTATTGTGAGATGCTGAGGTGTTGAGAAGCCCTGAACAGTTCTTACCCTCTGGAATTTAAGTGGAAAAGGCAGATGCTAAGCAAATTATGACATAAATGATTGCTTTACTATAGTTGTGATAAAATACTGTGTAACAAAATAGTGTGCATAAACCACTTTTATAGATTTAGCTAACTCTCTATACTTTTTACTCTTGGAATCTGATATAGAAAAGCACCAATGGGCTCATTCAGAACTCTGTGAGCCTGTACCCACTGTTAGTGATTATTGCCATTATTCCCCTACTTTAACCTTCTGCATTATTTATTCTTTCATCCAGAAAATGGTACTGAGTATGCTAACAGTATTGTGCTAACACTGTAGAGGAGACTGCAAAGATGAAACAGAAGAAAATCCTGTGTCCAAAAATGCCAATAGTTGCAAATAAAAAAGGGATGTGTCATAAGAAAAGCACAGATAAAGTAATAGAGGTTCAGAGAGTTATCTGCAGGAACTTTATTCATATATTGCTTTGTAATGATTGGATTGAACATCAAATGATATTAGGAAATTATGTTCTAGTGGCCCAGTGCACGAAATTCATGCACATTAAAAGGGGATTAATTAGAGGAAATAATTTAATATTGCTATTTGCCCTCTCTCTTTAATAGAAGTGTCAGAGATGAAAATAAATTAGTAAGCCGAGACCGGTTTGGCTCAACGGATAGAGTGTCGGCTTGGAGACTGAAGGGTCCCGGGTTCGATTCCGGTCAAGGGCATGTACCTTGGTTGCGGGCATATCCCCAGTAGGGGGTGTGCAAGAGGCAGCCGATCAATGACTCTCTCTCATCAATGTTTCTAACTCTATCTCCCTCCCTTCCTTTCTGTACAAAATCAATAAAATATATTTTAAAAAAAAAGAAAAGAAAAGAAAAGAAAATAAATTAGTAAAATGTATATGAAAACCTTCCTCTTGTGAGAGTTTGGGGCACACCACGGGACCCAGAGTCAAGTCCCTGCCCAAACACATGCACCTCAAAATTATGTTAGACCCAGACTTGTCCTCCCCTCTCCCCCAATTGGGCTAGATCCAGACCCGGCCAGTCCCACCCTAGTCAAGCCCTGCTGGGCAGGGGGTGTAACCTCAAGTACCTTGGCCCGGTGCCAGGACGGGGGGGGGGGGGGGGGGGGGGGGGGGGGACAGGGATGGACGGACGTGGCCTGAGGTCCCCCAGCCGAGACTGGGGTAGGGGGTGTGCCTTGAGATCCCCCATCAAACCCCACCAGATGGGGGACGTGGATTAATCCCCTGTCAAGCTCCGCTGGGGGGTGGAGGGGGAGGCGCGCGCGCACAGTCTTAGGTCCCCCATCAAGCCACACTGGGTGGGGGGTGTAGCCTGAGTTCCCCCGACCCAGCACTGGGGTTGCACCCTGAGGTCCCCTGTCAAGCCCTAGTGGGTGGGGAGCATGGCCTGAGGTCCTGTGTCAAGCCTCGCCAGGCAGGGGGGCGCATCCTCGGGCCCCCTGGCCTGGTGCCAGAGTGGGGGGTGTGGCCTGCGGTCCCCTGTCAAGCCCCACGGGGGTGGGGGTGGGTGTAGCCTCAGGTCCCAGCTGACTGCTCATTAAGGCTCGTGATGGGAATTTGGCTTCAGCTGTGGGTGATGGAGTGATGATCAATTAGCATATTCCTTCTTTATTAGATATGATAGCTTACAGAAGGGGTGGGGAACATCGGCCTGAGGGCCATATAAGGCCTGAGAAATCATTTGGTCTGGCCCTGCCAAGGCATTTGGGGTGAGTTAGTTAAATGTTTGACCAAATATAGCAGGCTAATTTATAAGTTGATAATTTTGTCTTGCCCAAAAATGATGTTATAAATATCCAAATGGCCCTTGGCAGAAAAAAAGATTCCCCACCCCTGGCTTACAGTGCCATAGTTTAGACATGCAGTAAAGTTAAAGCAACTTTATTTTATGGTGAATTTAAAGCTCATGTATTTACCAATTATTTTAGAGCCATAGTTTAGGAATTTTACAAAGGAATTGTTGAGGGAGGAAATTATTCTTTAGTTCATTAACACTCTGATATGACTTTTTCTTTGTCTTGAAACTAATTTTATCCCACAATATCATAATCTCTTTAAACTGAACCATTTAGTAATAAATTAAACCAGGGAAACTTTTTTTCTCTTTTGCTGTAAGTATTTCAATCAAGTAACTAATCATTTAATAGTTTTAAATATTGAAACTTTAAAAAATATATATTTATTGATTTCAGGGAGGAAGAGAGGGGGGAGGGAGAGAGAGAAACATGATGAGAAAGAATCATTGATCAGTTACCCCCTAATGGGGATTAAGTTTGCAACCCAGGCATGTGCCCTGAATAGGAATCAAACCGTGACCTCCTGGTTCATAGGTCAACGCTCAACCACTGAGCAACACTGTCCAGGCAATATAGAAACTTTAAAAAAATATTTATTTTCTTCTAACACCGATGAAATAAAAAAAAAAAACATTTTTTTTTCTGTTAGACTGCAGCCAGATTGCCTAATAAAAGTGAAGGATTTTTTTTTTATTTTCAGACTTAGATCTGTACAGATTCTGCAAAGTATATGGAATAGAGAAGAACTAATTATACTTTGCTTGCTTTGTTTTTAGGGCTTATCTAAGTAGTGGTCAGAGTATGTGGCTAAACCCAGTTCACCTTAACATGAGTGGAAGTCTCCATGTATTGAAAAGAACTTAGTACTATTCTGGACATTGGTTATCCAATAATGTGCAAAACAAAATCCCTATTTTCATGGAGTTATTATGCTAGATCATAAATGAATCAAATGACACACACATACACACACACACACACACACACACACACACAGTAGTGACAGTTTTATGAATAAAAATAAAACAAAGCTATAGGAGTGCTGCTTTTGATGTCATGGTCAAGAAAAGCCTGATAGTTGAGCCGAGAATTGAGCTGGAGAGCCGTGTGGCTCTCTGGGGAAGGACTCTCTATACAGAGGGATTGCCAGGGCTGCAGGTGGGGAGGCAGAGGTGTTTGGGCCAGCTCAAGATGAGGAGGGATATAGCAAAGGAGCCGGTACAGCAGGAGCTGAGTAGTGAGGAGAGAAGGGAAGGAGAGGAGGCAAGCTGAAGCCCTATCACTGAGCGTCTTTTCAGCAGGGAAAGGGGTTTAGATGTTGGTCTAAGTGTGACGGGAAGCCATTGAGGGGTTCTCAGCAGAAAGTGGCATCACCTGGTTTACATTTTAAAGACTCACTCTGTCATCTGGGTGGAAAATAGACTGAGGCGAGTAAGGAAGACAGGAGTGAAAATTGAGCAATATGTAAGGTCCAGGCCAGAGGTGCTGCTGCCTTAGACTGGGGTGGCAGTGGTGCATCTGTGAGAAGTGGATTCAGTTACGCTGGAGATAGAGCTCATAGGAATTCGATATAATGAGTGAAACAGAGGGTTCAGGTCCTGAGTAAATAGGTTAATTAATGGTAACTTTTACCAAGATGGGGACCCTGGGAGAAGCAGGGTGAAGGTAGGGAGCAGGCGGTTTGTCAGTAAGACTGAGATACCCACTGGGCATCTGTGTGGAGATGTAGAGCAGCATTCTCAACATTATTGTGATACAAATAACACATCGGGATTATATGAGAATTGCCATCATTGTCATGGATGTTGTATCGAGCTCTTCCTAAGTAACAGGCAGGTTTCTAAGCATAATCTCATCTAATCGTTGCAACCTCGTGAGGTCAATGCTATTTTTTCCATTTTATAGATAAAAGAACTGAGGCTTACCTGGGCTAGATAGCTTGCCTAAGATGGCACAGCTAAAGAAATGGTAGGTTTCAAATTCAGACATTTTAACTGCAGATCTGATGGTCTCTGATATAGATATAAGTAACAGTTAAATATACCAAGTAATTGTCAATTAAAAAAAATGGAACTTTTGAAATTTAAAATATGAGCAGTTCTCAAATAATACAACTTATATATTAATTTTAAAAGAAATGGAACAAAATTGGTTCATCATCATATTTAACTGAAATTGCATACTCTCTTGGCTAAAGTTATGCATTTGTTGACTTTTAGGGCAATCAGATGTGAATATGTACACTCTAAAATGGCTGCTTACTTAGTAGGAATTCAATTTGCATATATAGTGGTGATCCCAAAAACCATTAAACTTGCCCCTTCCTGATGAAAAAGAAGCAGACTGATTATTATCCAAAGGCTTCTAGAGTCCTTTTTGCTTTGTGAGTTTATTTTAGTAAATACCTTTTATACATCTAATAATTACTAAAAGAGTTGTTATACCTCTAGTGAGAAAAAGTCAAGACAGGTTTTTAATGCCTAGCATTTTATATGTGAATTGACATGAAAGATACTACATATCTTCATTAAACTAAAGCATTATAAATAATCAGAGTTCAGGTTGAGACTCTTT